TTCTAGGGGACAGCACAGGCCGTCTGTTACAGAAAAGACCTTCCTAATATGTGTTAGTAAACCACAGTAAGCAGAAATTCCAGTTATTTTGAATAATGAATGTTTGTAAATATAGAGAGATATAAAATTCAAGTAGATGAAATCCATTAAAATTCAGTTGTTATAAAAAAAATTGGACTAACTGTAAAGATGTTTCAATAGGGTTTCAAAACCAGATAAGGATAAATTATGCTCATCCCTTATGCGAGGTTAGCTCTGCCACTTAATTTCTATGGAGGTTCTTGTAGAAGGTCTCTGATATTCCTTCATCCACAGCATTTATGTCCAAATATTACCATTTTCAGTTGCGATGCCTTAATTTATAAGCGGAGGGCCTGAAATTTCAGGAGCCAAGAGATGCCAGCCAGAAGCTGCAAAAATTAGTAGATGTTTATACAGAGGCTATTTTGGATGATACTGTTGTCTTGTTTCTACTTGGGGATCACTTTTAGATGAATTAGTCTTCAAGTGGAAATGTGAACAAGTGGCTACCTGATAGAGTTGTGTTGGTTTTTTTTCTTGCCCTTATAGGGAACCTGAGCACAAACTGAATCATTCTGCTGCAAAAAAAAAAAAAGTCATCCAACCCCATCTTTATCTGTCATCTCGTTACAGCTCGCTCGTGCTTCTGCATGAGCTCATTGTTAGAAGTTTTTTAAAAAGATCTATTATATATAAAAATATATATGTATTGAAAGGTGCTAATCAACCTCAAGAAGGTCACGTGACTGGTCATGCGGATCTAAAATCATATCAGATTTTTTAAAAAATCTTCGATATATGCAGATGTTATACAGAATTTCTTACCAGTGTAATAATGATATACTGATGAATAAACAATCCTGCAGGTTTTTAAGGACAAGGTCAGCAATACTTCCCACCATGGCTTGGGGGAGAAAAGGATAGTTTTGTCTCCTTTTTGTATACAGCATAATGCACAATGCATTTTTGTCTATCTCTTAGTAGCTGTTGCTTAAAAATATAGTTAAAGGGTGTTATACAAACCGTAAAGGTGTGCTTTTGAACCGAGCTCATGCCAGACCCTTCTGGACCAGAGTTTTGTATCACTAATTAAAAAACTGTTACAGAGTCTGTGGTCAATCAGATTGTATGATATTTTTCTCAAAGATTGGAATAATCAGTCTACCTACAGTGTTTCTAGGGCACCTACCTCCTCAGCACACAGTGCTGAAACTGCTGCAGATTGTTTCTGTGTAATTGTGGGTTTCTTTGTACCAAACGTGCAGCTCACTGTGACATGCACTGGAACAGAATAGGTCTGTTTGCTTAAAGCTGATCAACAATTGCTCTCACAAATGTCATTCCCTTGGAGTTATGTTTAAGTACCTTTTAGTTGTATTGTTGGGGTTAGTTACAGATTTGGTTTTCATTTGGGGTACTTTATAGAAGTTAAGGTACAACCAAGTAGCTTATATTTCACTGTTTGTTAAGTTGAAATGCTGATTTTTTTTTAATGAGCACTACTCAGTTTGCCTTATTCCATTAAGGAGATTGTTGGGGGCTTTTTTTCATTCTCTTGCTTAATGTTCCTAAAAACCCTGTTCTGTAAACTGAGATCGACAACCAAACCGTAGACTTGACGTGAAGCTGTTACTTAGTGATGCTTCAAGTGGCCTTCCCGCTGCCGCCGCAGCTCTGCCGCACCATCCCCGCGCTGCTGCCACGGCAGGGAGGGCACAGCCCGGTCCTGACCTCAGAGACACTCTGGAGCCGAGGGTGGCACAGCCACTGGCACACCTGGCGTTTGTATACGGACCTCTACTTGTCTTCAAATGTGCGGGTTTTTAAAATTGTTGTCTGGAGTAGGTTACATCTCTTATGTGTGTTAGATCGAACCAAAGAAGCCTCCAGCCATGCCCAAATGCTGCTCCTAAAGCCTGCCTTCCAGTCCTTACAAAACCCCTGCAGGATTAAATGTGTTAACTTTTTTATTTTTGTACAGTTTCTAACTGATTTTTTGCTAGTGATGTTAATTAAGTTTATTTGGGGAGTCTGAATATCTCCTCCATTTAAATAAACTGGTGACTTTCCTTTTATGTTAAAAAAAAAAAAAAAAAAAAAAAAAAAAAAAAAAAAAAAAGAGAAACCCAAAGTGTGCCTCTCAGATTTAAGGGTTTCTGGTTACATTTATTCTTAAGACCAGCAATGATTCTTTATATACAAAGATATGTTTTCCTCATTTTTTTATTACTGTTAAAGAAAAAAATAAAAAAGAAAAACCTCTTTCTTTGCTCTGGACCCAGTAATTGCGCTGGTACATAAACGCACTGAGAAAACAAACTTTTGTTTGAAACTTTTGTAACAACTTATGACTGTTTTTGTATATCAAAGTTGATTCTTTTCAAGATATTTGGATCTAGTTTCTAAGTTATTTTAGCGTTTTATATGTTACAAAAAAAAAAAAAAAGAAATTACTTTAAATTGTTCACCAGCATCTTGAGTTATCTTCAATGCCATGGTGACACACAGGGGGCTTAGAGCTACCTGGAGTAGCTTGTAAGGCCTCGCTCTTTTCCTTCCTTCCTTAGCAACTTGATTGATTACAATAATATCACAGATTACCTGAACCCCCTTCCTTTATAACTAGATCCTCCTTCCTTCCACATTTAATTGCTATTAGTGTGAAGAAACTGTTGAAATGGGCATTTAATATAAGTACGGCTTAAAAAGAGAAAAATGAGGAAAAAGAAAAAAAAATGCTAGAAGGTTATCTGTGGGTCTGTGAGATATGGCTGTGGAAAGATATTGTAGTAGTTTTAACACTATTGTTATTACCTTTTAAATCATTTACCCAATAAAATAAGGAAAAAGAATCACCATTTCTTTTTATGTCTCTCTGCTTAATTGTGTGGCTTGGTCAATGTTTTTATTTAAGCATTTGTACCTGGTGTTAATGTCAAAGGCTAATGGTGTGTTAGAAATATTTTCCTGGGATTAACTGTCTTTCCCTTTTGTCTGCTGTAGGAGCAGACTGGGGGACAGGTACCTGCAGCTTTCAGTCTAATTCAGAAGGGAGTCACTCAACACTCCAAGTTAAATCATTTATATTAGTTACATCAGTTATTATTTATATCAGTATATTTATTGGTATTTATATCAATTGCTAGTTCAGTTTTATACTTTTTATGTTGAACTTTACACATGGAATTCTGTCCAGGCCTGAGCTTCTTCCTGTGACACAGGGAAGTGGTGTCAGTCTTTTTAAGCAAAATTTGCTCGCAGAACCAGTTGTGCTGGTGTAACCAGTACATGGCCTACACCACTTACAGACAGATTGGTCAGCACAGTATTGTTGCAAAATGTGTATCAAAGAATCTCTGCCAAAGCCCCAGTCCAGCTGATGGCAAAGCAAAGTACCCAGAGAGGCAAAACCCCGTTGGAGAACTTTGTTCCCTGAGCCAAATTCTTGGTGCACTGAGAGACACTTTCTGCTGAGTCCTCTGTAGGATAATTCCTGAGACAAAGCATTTCATCTCACTGGAACTCAGGTCTGATTTTAGAAGGGGTTTGTTTGCCTGTGCCTAATGCAATATTCATAGCTCTGCTGGCTGTAGATGCAAAGTCTTTGAAAACAAACCAGTGGGGTCTATGTAACCTTTGGATGTTGAAGACTGATGCAGCCATTGCTCCACTTGCTCCCAAGCCTCAATTTCGACTCTGAAGGGAAACCTGTCCAAGTAAATAGCTTCCATTGCTGGTTTTATATCTCACAGCTTTGGTATCATTAGTCTGAACTGCATAAAACCTTCCTAAAACCCTCAGGCCATTGAAATGTAGAGCTAGTTATCACTTCCTACCCAGAGTTTCCCACTCTTCTCAGTACTTTAGCCAACTCTGCTGTTATCATGCTATTAAAAAAATCAAACTAACAGAGTAATATTGAGGCTGGTTCAGAGATGGAAACTTGCTTATTCTTACGTATTTGGTGGTACTAAACAATGAAAGGCTGATTTCCAGTTAGTTACAGAGAGCTGTTGAGAATAATTAGCAGTGCCTGAAAAGGGAAATTGCTTTCTTGGTTCATCTCAGGCTGCTGTACAGCACCACACTGGATTTCTACTTAAAGCTGTTATACCAGGGTTTATACTGTTCAAGAGAAATTAAGCTGGATAATTGATTCTGTTCCCCAGCTGCCTGAAAAATTAAAACCTCTAAGATGCATATATAATTATACAGGTGGGCATATCCAGTGTGTTCTTTTTCCAGGAACAGTATTTGCCAGGAACCTCACACAAGGAAATAACTTGCTTGTCTGAGCTACACATACATTTATCTAGATTGCAATAATGTCAATTACAGCCAGAAGCATTTCTGAAGTGTATTGAAACTACTTTGCCATCACCTCCGGTCTGGGGCTGTCCAAGTACAGTACTGCAGCAGCTTTCTGAACAAAGTTTTGAGCTGAAAACTTCTGTACGTGTTCTCCCACCTTCTACTAAAGTGCCATGAAATGGGAACTACAAGACACTGCCAAATCTGGGGTAGGAACAGTGGAGGAAGCCTCATGGTACTGTAACACTCTTTCCTGAGCTCTTTACCTGAAAGACAAGGACAGGAAATATTTAAACAGTGATTAAAGGATTTATGTCCCACAGTGAGCTCTGCCAGTAAACTCAGGCTGTTGCTGACTGGCAGGTAGCAGGCACAGGTCATACTGAACTGCTTAAAACTTTCAGAAATCCCAGTAACCATTGTTCTCCCAGGAACTGCTGTGTGCAAATGGATGACATCAGGCAGTACAGACTGTTTCAGACAGAAACCTCCATATTTTGTCCTGAGTTATAATTGGCTAATATTTAGTGCCTCTGTGACTCTTGACTGTTAATGTTACAAACAGAAGTGGAAAGGCAATTTTGGTTTTCTTACCTAATTATAAAAAGTCTTAAGCAAGACAAACTCCAGGCCTGGCAAAATTAGAATGATAACAAAACTGTCCAGTATCCATTAAAATGCATTTATTTGTTTTAATTCAAAGTTTTAACAACTATTTGCCCAATGATCTGTACTTAGGGCACAACAACAAAAAAAAAAAATCCCATCATCAGACCAAAATACAAAAACAAGTACACAAATTACCCCGTATTTGTAAAGTTACCTCATAACCAAGGTTTAGCACATTAAAAAGTTTACAAAATTCATAACACTCTTACAAATTATTCAGAACTAACAGCATATGTGGCAGTTGAGCCCATCCACGTCCACCCTTGCCCTTGCCAAACCATTCTGTGCCTGGACAACGCTGTGCTGGAACTAGAGGGTGGGGTAACCAGATCTGCAAGTTTCCAAAGACCCCTTTGTGGTCCAGCCCAGCTCCAGCTCCCTGGCACAGCGGGGATGGGGAGAGCAGGGAGTGCTCACTGGTCTGCCTGCTGCGTTCTCTGCAGCATTGGGATAATGACTCAGTAAATGCAGAAATAATTTAAAAAAGTACAAAATTGACCCTGAAGAAAAATAAAATTATTTATAAAACAGCTTGGCTTTGACTAAGTTACACCAACAGCTGCAAGACAGATTTACAGCAATATCACTTAGAGTACGAGATCACAAAATCAACAGATTCCTTATGAGTCTTGTCACCGTAAAACTGAAAGCATCAAAGCTGACCTGTCTGCCTACAGAAACCTTGCACCTCCTACCTGGGCTGACTGGGCCCTCTTCCTGGCTTTTGGCCTTTTCAGAGCTTTGTTAACAATTAGGACTAATTTAATTCCTAAGAATCCACCTCGAGTGAAACAATTGCAACACAAGAAAACAGCACAACTCTATTTTCCATTAGCTATGGATGCATAGAAAAACAAGTGCTTCTGGTTTAGATGCAAGACTTAGGACATAAAAGTACAGTCATTTAACAGTTGCAAATACCATTTCTGAAAGGAAAATACAATTGGGCTTTACAAAATGATATCAAATATACACAAATATCAAAACCCTGATTGTGGCCAGGAAGAGAAATTACAATTAGGTACTCTCTCACCTCAAGATTTGCAAATGGACTGACTTTTCCTGTCTCCCAAGTTCAGCAAGGCAGCAGCTGCTCAAGCACACGTAGGCTTTCCCTATAAGCAGCATTTTTGAACTGTAAGAAGCTGAACCAAAACCAGCTCCAGGTGCGTGTTCATAGACTGGCTTTTCATCAGTTTATACATGCACGGTTCACTTTCACCCTTCAAAAGAAACAAGATGCAAATTCTCCTTTGGTGCTTAAATAGCAAGAAGCTAAATGACTAAATGAATAGATAAAGCTCAGACACTGTTCAGTGTCTGAGTCCTTGGAAAAATAGCACTGCAGGGGTCCTGGACAGCTAAAGCTGTGGCACAAGGTAGTGGGTGCAGAAATGATACTGGCTCCCTTCTGTGCTTTGGAGGGCTGGATAAACAAACCCATCAGTAAACAAGTTTATTAAAGTTAATAATGCTCCATTTATGGGTACATTTGGAGGGAAATGTAGCCACAAATGTGGCAGCAGGAGCAGTTTCCTTGCTCCTTGTTTCTTTTGAAGTGCCTACAGTACTATTAGAGGGCTCTGTTCAGACCCCTTAATACATACCAGTGTCTCTGTGAAGGCCAGGCAACAGCACTGCACAAGGATTTTTTTCTGGGATTGTGCCCAACTTGCTCTTGGACAGTAAATGAGCCCACTTTGGGGTGAGATTTTACACTCAGCTTCAGCAGTGGGGAATAGCGGGTGTGGCTGTCCAGCCCAACTCCTGCCCCCAGCTATTGCCAGTGTTGCCATAACTGTGAGTGCCACCACAAAGGACTGGGGCACATTTGGCCAGGAGGACCAGGACAACCCTTCACTTGTACACGGCACTGCAGCTCTGTAAAATCTCAGCACCAGGTACCGGGCAACAGCTTCAAGTTATCTTGACATAGATTGTGTGCGTAATACCCCAGCAGAGAAAGCAGTTAGCTCCCAGGAGCAGCAGGAGAGTTTTGTTCTTTCATTTCCAGCATAAATAAGCATAAAAGCAACCGAAGAAATCATCTGTATAGTGTACACCTGTATAGTATGCCTATAAAAGAAACCTTTAGGGGAAAAGAAAAATCAGCCTCTGTGAGGGAAAACAACAAATACCTGCTACAGAGATGAAGCTTTCCCGTTCTTCCCCATATCTTGCATGCACATGAAACAAGCTCTGGCTGATGCACATTCCCAACAGATACCAGAGATAGATGAGGAATAAAGGGTAAAGGATGTGAAGTTCCATGATGGTTTCTTCAAAAAGAAGAAAACATCTTCCCTTTCTGTTCCCATTCTGACCTGCCCCTCCCTTCAGTGGAGCCTCACCGTCGCTCTCCCTTCTCTCTCAAGGAACTGTGGATGCAGTTCCTTGTGGTGGCTCACCATTACCAAACATGAAATATTAAGTTTTAAAAGCCTTCAAAAAGGGGCACAGGGAGGGAGGGAATAATTGTGACTTTTGGGCCTGTCACTACAGGAAAGACATTGGGGCTCTGGAGCACGTCCAAAACAAAGCAACAGAGCTGCTGAAGGGTCTGGAGCACAAGTCTGATGAGTGGGAGCTGAGTGGGCTCAGCCTGGAGAAGAGGAGGCTCAAGGTGGACTTTGTCACTAGCCAAGTGGGGGTCAGTCTTTTCTCCTGGGAAATAAGCAACATGACAAGAGGAAACAGCCTCGAGTTGCACCAGGGGAGGTTTAGATTGGATATTAGGAAAAATTTCTTTACCAAAAGGGTTGTCGGGCATTGGAATAGGTTTCGGAGGGAAGTGGTGGAGTCACCATCTCTGGAGGTATTTAAAAGATGGGTAGATGTGGCATTTGGGGACATGGGTTAGTGGTGGGCTTGGCAGTGCTGGGTTAATGGTTGGCTTGATGATCTTAAAGGTTTTTTTGGACCAGCATAACAGGGAAAAGCACAAGTCAGCCCAGTGACCACCAGCCAGCTCTGATCCAGGGTGGGAAGGAGGGCAGCAGTGACCACTCAGTGGCTCTGCTGTCACAGCCAGTGGTGCAAGAGGTACAACTGCACCAGGAATCCCTTCAGCCAAACTGCCCAGGGATTTCCCTCATGTCAGCTCTGCCATTCCTCCTACTGAATTTTAAGTAAGCCAGAAGAGCTCGCAAATTTTGCATTCCAAGCAAAGAGCCTGCACTGAGTGAGACACCTGAGCTCATTTAAATGCTCCTGCAGTTTTAATTGACCAGAGGCAGTCAATGGTGGCAAACAGCAGCTGCTTTATACTTGTTTGGAATGCCCTGAAGCATATGACTATAAATAGGAAATGCTATAGTTTAAAAAAGAAAAAAAAAAAAAAAAAGACTGCTACCTAAAGAAATGTTTCTAGTAACTACAATATTCTGAGGGGAAAAAAAGGAAAGATTCTTTAAAAAACAGGAAAGATTTTTTTTAAAAAACAAAAAACTTTAAGTTAAGCAAATAATAATGCTAAATAGTATTTGGCAAAATTTGGCTAAAATCATTCTATTGTAATACTAAATATTCCTTCTAAACAGAACTGAATCCAACATAAGGCATTTTGCCGAATTCTTAAGTAAATAAATAAACCATGATTGGTAGTTGACAGTAGCTACAGGTTGGGAAGAATTAGTATTTTGCTCAGCACTGCACAGGGGATGAAGTATATTAATAAGGGACAGGCTTTAACATCCAGCATTGGCATCTCCCAGCAATGCCCATCACAAAGGACTGAATCTGCTGAAACAACCAGCAAGAACTTCCATCCCTTCAGCAGCTCATCCAGTGATCTTCCACAGATGGATTCAGGCCTTCAATGCCAACACATTCTTTCTTTAGGCCCCGCTCCACAAATGCTTCAGAAGATATTCCCAGTTTTCCTGAGGCAGCAGGGAGAGTGCACAGTGGAATTCCTCGTGTACCAACACTGACTGACAGTGAACTCTGTGTTAAATCAGGTGCTTATCTTCTGAGTTGAATTCTAATTAAAAACATGAGGAGCCACATAGTCTGTGTAACTCACACCAGCTGTATAGGCCTGAGGGATAGTTCAGGTATATGCTGCATGTTCTCAAATTGTAAGCATACATGTATCTATTCTCTTGTATGTGTGTGTATATATATATATATGTATATATATGTACACATACAAACACACAGAGCAAGGCAGGGAAGAAAACCAGAAACTAGTCTGTAAATCAGAATGTGGGACAATATATTTCTGATTGAGGTGTACTTTTTTTAATCATACAGAATAAACATATTTGAAGTAGCCACTTCTTCCTTCGCCAATGAAAATTTTTCTTTTTTAAGGAAAACAAACAGACAAAAAGCCCAAAATCAACCACTTCTTGTTCTTACTTTTCCCTGCTGAGGTATAAATGACTGTACCCTAACTTCAGAACGTCCCTTCAGGTGATCCAGCTGAAGGAGGTATGGTGGTTTTGGTTTATCTTACAAGTCACAGCTTTGATAACACAATGAATCTATAAATTGCAACAAACTTCTGTGCAACAAAAACCTGCAGCCTCAAAACCCAACAGCCTGTGACACAGACTCACAGTTCTGGACGAACACACTCAGGATTTCCCATCTTTCTGCCCAACAGTTTCTCCTCTAGCCTTGCAAAATTTGAACAGGTACACACTTCACTGTTTATCATTCTGCCCATCTACATCCTGTTCTCCAAAAGACATGTTGACAGAAGATTTATTCTTACCAGTAAACTGGAACGTGTTCTTTTCAGTAGAGGCCTGCACTGATTTGACATTCCTGTTTGTACCTGCATTTTAAAATCAGTACACAGAATGTAAAAGAGCTGTAGGGAGAGAACAGTTTCAGTTTGTTCCTTTTTTAACCAGTCTACTCAGCGAGGAGCAGTGTAGACAGAGCAGGAATGTTTCAAAAGCTACTAAGTAAAAAAAAAAGAGAACTCTGATCTTTACAATTGATTTTGTATCTCCACTCCTCGTCTGGTCTAAGCTAAGTGAAAAAACATTTTGTTCAAAATCTGGACAGAAGAGTGGATGTAATATCTTATCATGGCTTATACATAACATGGTCTTTTGAAATTATTTCAACATGATTTTTTTCTATTCACCCAAATAAAAGCATCTCCAAAGCATCAAGATATGGTGGGATTTCACTAGATGGATATTTATCCACAGCAGCTTAAGAATTAAGTAGTTGATTTAAAAAACAAATCAAAAAAAGCATTGTTTGAATGAGTTATTGTTCCCCAACATTTTCAACCAGCTTAAAGAAAAGTACAGTAGAACCTCGCTCCTTTGCACTTACAACTGGGAGATTAACATTGTTTCCTGTGGCTGTTTTGGAACATTCAGGTTCTAAGAGTTAAGCCAGGATGATGTGGTTCAACATGTGTTTGTTCACATCACTGGAGTGTTGCAATGCAGCATCATTTCCTATCCCATGATATAACTGTACTTATATTGAATGGAAAATTAGTCAAAACAAGGTAGCACTGCCACTCTCTTTGCTGGAATGTGGACAGGTCCTGGCCTAACTTTAAATGGTGGCTTAGCAAGATTCTACTGTAATCTATACAAAATGTATAAAACACAAACCTTTCCCAGAATAAGGCCACTAATTTTGCCATTGGCAATAGGCAGTGAGAAACAGCAGGTAAAAAAACCCCTCACTTGATTACAAAGGTGTTTCTGAGGCAATAAACTGTGGGGAGAAGTATAAAGCCGTTGTCCTCTCATCCCTCCTCCTGGTTTTCCAGTACAGGTATCTCTGCTTCCTGCACGACTCCACAGGGAGAAATTTCAGTCTATTTTCTTAGCTGGGAGTCTGAGCAAGTCCATGCTACATTTAAAGATGGGGACAGCACTGTAAAACAGTAGGATTACAAGCTTCCCATGGGTCATGGTCATGACAGTCTGATGTCCACACGCCCAGACTCGATACCAGGGCCCGTAAAAAGGATCTGAGACCGCTGGGCACAACATGTTGTTCAAATTCACTTCTGTAACCTGAGAAAGTGACAACAAATTTATAAATTAAACAATATTTTTGCTTTGCACCGATTCAGACACCTAAACTGGTAATTTTTGAAATTACCATAATAACAGAAAAATGTTTAGGTGACGCTTTTGCTCGACACAAATAGGGCAGCTTCCAGAAATAAAGCAGATCCAAATTTCATTGTGCATTTAATAGATGAATTTATGCAGGTACATAAACAAACTATGAAATATTTTACCAATACTTGCAAGATACAAATGCTTGTTAGAACATGCAATTTGCATACAGGCAGCCTTATCAAAAATTTGCATTGCAAGTTCTTATCCATGTGGATCTGGACACTGTGAAACAAAGTAGTCAATGGTGTTACTTTGGATGTACTTGCAAATACCCATTTATTAACCTGTGTTTACTTACCAGTCCCAGAATCTGCAAGATGCTGAAGTGATACACAAACATAAACCCCGTGGATAAAAGAGCCCACCAGAAGTTGCAGAGTGGCTCTGGAGTGTAGATACCTTGAAAAGAAAGGAACACATTAGTATTCAGCTGCATTGCTGTGTCCATCAAACACTCAACAATAATCCTCTCTCTCCTGCTCTGTGCATGTCAGGGCATCTGGCTTGAGCTGATAACCTACTCAATACCATCACAGTAATTAATATTTGAGAGCTTTAATTCTTACCTGGAGCATCCTGAACAGCTTCTTCCCTCCTTCTGGTCCAGCAGTAAAAATATGCAATATGTTATCTCATTACATTTACCTATTTTTCACCAACACCATTAATTTTTACCTCAATCTTCCTTCTACCACAGAAGTACTATATGATTTTAAGACACAGTGTACAATGAGTCTTCAAAAATCAGGTTATTTATACTTAAACAGCTGCTTCTTGCAGGGACTATGCCTTCAGCGTGCACAGAACTGATTTAGGCAGCAGCAGGTCCTGCACAGCACTGTATTAGAGCACAGCATTGCCATTTCCTAATTTTATGGTTGTTTAACAACTATCAAAAAGGAACTTGCACCAATAATGCCAAGAAAGAGAAAAGCTGTATAAAGTAGTCAATCCATCAATGAGAGGCTGTGCTTTTAAATGAAAACTGCTGTGGAGATATTTTCAGATATACACTACAAGCAGTGGTAGTATACCTACACTGTAATCAGTAGATATCACAGACACTGTAAAATACTTTTTCCCTTCAAAGGAAATAGCAGATGCCATGTTATTTCCACCTTTCTCTCTCCTCCTGAAAGCAGGTCTTGTCTATTTACTGACAAAAGACAATGTTCCCTGATCTAGAATGTACCAAGGAAATCAGATCTAATAAAAGTACCCACAGATACATGACTATTTTGGGAATTAAATATTCAAATTTCATACAGCGAGAACAAAACCAGTTTAGAGAGTTCTTAAGACTCTTACTAGCAGCCATGAAAGTTTTAGTGTAAGATATGTGGAAAAAATAATATTTTCCTTATGACTTTAATAACTTCAACCTCAGAACACAAAAGAAAGATGCACAATGTCATACTGCTCAGCTGCTGTAAGAGTTCCAGAGGATTATAAAAATACACTGGCAATTTTTATCTGCCTTTATCTGCTCTCTGATCCATTAGATATTATTAAACATTGGGATGTGTATCCAGTACTCAAAGGACAGCTTACAGCACAGAGTGCAATATTGATACCAGCCTTCGCTGGCACATTCAGTAATTACCAGGAAGTAATTACAGACTTCAGCATATGCTGTACAAGGCTACTGAGAACTCAAATAACTCCACATGCAGAGTTCAGTGACCACAGAACCCACCAGACCACAGCTGCTGTGAATATGCCTATGTATGTAGATAAATACAAGTAACTGCTGTTACCACATCCCCGTATAATGGTGCATCCCTTTTCATGTTTAAAGTCTCTAGAGGAATGCCTCCTCAATCTGTTGCCCTTTTAAAATTCTTTTCTGCACAGTTTTCCTCCATAGTTTGTACCCATCATGCCAGTTCAGATTGATTTTGCAGTAGCTGCCTGAAACGAGTTCGGTTAAATAGCATTTTGTGAATGGCACAAAATCAAAGTTACCCACACGCTGTTGTCTAAAGCTGCACAAGAACACAAGTGCTCTGCTGCCAATCCCCAGAGCAAGACACTGATTGCCTGTTTGAATGACAGCAGCACATCTGCACCCCACACGTCACTCCCTGGTTTAATGAGAGTCTGTATTACTGTAATTAGCCAAGGTACGGCTGCACACCGTGTTTCACCGAGCAAGCTGGGACTTGGTGCATCCATGATAAACAGGAGCACAGAAGCTGCTTGGAAAGCAAAAAGCAGCTTGTAAGATTGCTTACCCAGCAGGAAGGTGAAGTTCAGAAGTGTCTGAACTGTAAAATCTAAAGGTAAAAGCAAACTCTCCATGAATAGCTTTAAGCTCTACAGGTAGAGGGGAAAAAATTCCCAACAGTAATTCTTGGAATGCAAGTGTGAGCTTAGAGCTGGCATCCTATTTAGAAAATGGTACAGGAGTCTTTACTTAAATAGCAATGATATTCATTAAACTCCATGGCCTGAAAACATCAGCTATGTGACACCACCTTGAATATGGTTTTTCATTACAGAGAGCAAGAGAAGGAGGAACCAGCTTTGCTGTCAGAATGCAGGAGATCATGGCTCTATTTTTGGCTGTACCAACTTTAGGTGACCTGGTCAAGCTTTACAGAAACTCTTTGTGCTCCTTCCTCAGCTGTAAAGAAAACATTGTTTGACTTGCAAAATTTATTTATATTGTCTTTGAAGTCCTAGGTGCATGTTTAACCTAGATACATAACACAACATAAAATTTAAATAAGGTATCAAAGCAGCTTCTTGGGAACAGACTAAACCAAATTAGGTTTCACGTGAACTCATCTGTTGGCATTTGCCTGTGCTACTTCAGAAGTATTTGACAAAGCCTGGTGGTTGGAAAGCTAAAATACAGAGACCTCCATATCCAAGTGATTTACAGTGCAGGTAGGGTATGAACACCAAAACAGACAAGTGAACCCAGCTATGAAGTGAGAATGGAGTGAGACAGCAGTCATTAAAAGACCAAGGAAATTGCACAAGATGACAACAGGATCCATGGCATAATTTGGTTTTGAACCCAGACTTCTCATGTCCAGCTTCAATCTAGTCAGAGAATCATGTTTCAGAGGCCCCTCAAGAGAGCTGTTCAGGTTCCCTCAGCCAAGAATTTCACTCTGCTACATTCTCTCTCTGTTGCAAAACTTCAAAACATGCATCAGCAACTCTTGCTCTCTACAGATTTTTGGGCTTGCTTTGTAACAGAAAAATCCTCCCTTGTTAGACTTTGGAATCCTGAAAATAATGGTGTGACTTTCAGCAGCAGCATTATTTGGCCATCAAGGGACAAAATGGAAACACTGACCTCCACAGGAAAACATCTCATAGTGCTCTGCATTCCCAAGTGTGCTTTGGGAAACTAATTTTAAATTCATACCTGGGATATTTTCTGTACCTTTCTCATTAGATAAATAACCACTATAGATTTTACTACTCTACAGTCCTATTCAGCAGATGGCTGTTTAATGGAGAGCATGGTCTCCTTTCCATAGTACACAGTCTGTTAACAGAGACACACAAACAGGAAAACTGAGACCCAGCTGAGGGGTTGTTTCAAGGGCCTGTGTTGGCTTTGGCAAAAGCTTCTGCTGCTTGAGTGGGAAATCAATTTTAACAGGTAATAGCAGAGAATTTCACTCTCTATTTGCTAAGGATCATGGGCAATTCTTACACATTAAGCATTTAAAAAATTTAATCCAACTGCCAGTCTGGCACTAATCTCATTCTCAAAAAGAGTCATGGCCCAGACAGTTGAGACCATTCCAAATCAGGGTCATCTTGGTAGGCTGTATATTTGCTCCTGTGTTGAAATAGCATGGCAGGGGATATGTCAGTTTAAATTAAACTTCAATACTTCAATAGCATTGATAGGAAGGATTCCACATAGATCAAAGAGTTAGGCATTCTTTGTCTGCTTCTGCAACAAAATTTTGTTGACCTTGAACATGCCAAGTTGTTTACTTTGCCATCGAGGAAATGGAAGCATGGCTTTAAAAATCTAAAAATCAACAAAGACTCCATTTCTTTTATATACTGCTGCCCCCACAATGTCTTGTGCTAGTTCAAGTGTTCTTATGAACCATTATTTTTATCTAAAATTCTCAATACATAGGCTTGTAGAAATTTGAGCGCAACTTAATAGAAAGTGATATTCCCTTTGTAATTCTCTGAAAGCATAATGAAGGAGAAAATTACTCCTCTGTTTGAATTAGAACCTAGATATAGTACAAATTTTTAATTTAGTAAGGTTTTAAATAATCTCTTTAATGTCTTGGTTTCCATTCCCACTACATTTCATAGAGCTTTATGAGTTTTCCAGCACTGCACACTCTCCTTCAGTAGTCTCACAATTACAAGACCACCTGCTTAAACCAAAACTCACAGTTCTCTCATTTTCAAGCCTACAAAAATGTCAGGGCAAATTTACTTTCATTTTATTTCCCTTGATCAAAGGGTTAATTCTAATTGTTTGGCCTATTGAGCTGGCCTAGAGACCAAACTTCCTATCCAGAGGAAAACAGGAAAAAAATGTTCTCAAGAGGGTGATCCTGAAATCCACTGTTTCCCCTACAGCTGTTCAGACTCCATGTGTAGACTTCAAAATACTACCTTATGCCAGGAGGTTTCTGTTTCCCCTCAGTGCCAGCTGCTCTCATCACAACCAGCTCACACAGGGATCTTATATTACCTGCTCCACTCAGGAACCACTTTTTATTCTCCATAAAGAAGCAGCAGGAGTTCTTCTTCTTCCTTCAGGCAGTAGCAGCTCTTCCAGATACTGGTACCTGCCCCTCTAAATTTCTCCCTCTCCTAGAGAGAGATTTCATTTTTCAAACGAACTGTAACTGCCCAGTGCATAAAGCTCAGAGGGTCACAGAACAGACATGTCCCCTTCTCTTCCTCTCCAGGTCTCTTAAATCATCAAACAGGATTGTCCTGGAATGATCAAGCTACAAAGGAGACTGAGCCTGCAGCCAGAGCGACAGCACACAGCCACCCTGCTGCTCAAAGTGCCACAGGACAAGCGCAGCTGGACAGCAAACCAGACATTTATGTCTAATACGTGGGGTGCAGCAGGTAGACAAAAGCTGGAATGGGAACATGGAACTGCCAGCAGGAGAGTAGGGGAATAATACATAAGAGTCGACAGATCTCCAAGCAGTTAAGAGGTTCAGTGAAAGAGCTGTTACATTATCAAGGATGGAGATGAACTAGATGTATTACTACCTAAATATATCCAAGTATAAAGTGATACTTTTCCTGGATTACTACTAAGGTATATAATAAAGCCTGCTTTACAACTCCTTTAAAAAGCTAAGGGTAGATCTAGCCTTAGCTTTTTATATATATATTTTTATATATTTTTATATATAAATACAGGTAGAGTGTCGCAAAGGAGAAAAGTGGCTGAACAAAGGGTGCAACAGCTAAAAAAAAATAATCTTTAAATATGGTAATCCCCCACTCTAGCAAGTCCTAACAGCCAATGGAGAGCGCAAATTTCGATCCCCCATTGCTTTAATTGCACTTTCCTAGTTTACAGCCACCAGGAAAAATGATCCTTTCGCCTGTACTTAGTATCTGTGTTCTACATCAGCTTCCCCTCAGGTCAGACACGCTGCACTGCCCCCACAGAGCTGCTTCTGCCCAGCTTCTGAAGCGTGACTGAAGCATTCATTCTCCATGAGAGGGGAAAAAAAGAGGAAAAAAAAATAAATCGACTTCTCCTGATTTTCTGACAATGCCAAAGAACTTCTCTCTTTTGATGCCACTTTTGAAGACTCAGATCAACAAAGAAAAGGGCGGTAGGACTTGAATCAGAGAGACTGGATCTTCGTTGGTTATAAAGTTATAGCACTTGCCTTAAGAGAAGAAAATTCTGACTCTACTCCCAGCAAACAACTCAATTTATTTGGGGTGTCTGTGTCTGTCCACTTGTGCACAGCAAATCAGCTCTTAAAACACTTAGGGCCGGACCACAGGACTGTCCAGAATCTGCAAGGCCATTACTGTCAGATTTAACTCCAGAAAAAGGATTTCTCCCCCCCCAAAAAACCACGACCCCACCGAATCCCTTCCCGGCCCGCACCTCGCGGACAAACCCGCTGGAACCGGGAATTCCCGGCTCGCGCAGCTCCCCCTGGCGGCCGCGGCCCCACAGCGCAACCACTCCGGGGTATCCCGGAACTCCAGGTGCTGCTGTTCGGGAACAAAATCCTGGAAAACCTCAACACCGACATCCTCTTCCACTTGCTGAAGTCCCTAAGGCAACTAAATAACGCTGGCGATCTCGAAACACGAGACAGAATATCTCTGAGCTCCACTGAGAGGGAGCTGTTATAAATTAACCCTTATTTCAGTCTGTTGTGGGCTAACATCATTTGCTCACTGCTCTAAGGAAATAACAATTCCACTTCGATTAAATCTCAATATGATTTGAAGTTCTGAAATAAGGTGCACACCTAACCTTGTCAAATCTATCTGAAAACCTGACCAAACCAGCTTAAGGACCAAGACAGTCAGGAACTGAGAGTCTCTAAAGCTGATGCAGTGCAAATTTGATTTTTTTTTCCATTATCTAAAGAGTATACAGTTAAAAAACTAAGCTGTCCTGAACTAGTACCTGGATCTTAGAGGATCGGGTTAATGCACTGGTGCAATAGTTGTGGCAGTTTGAGACATGACACTTCCTCAGCTGCCATCTTCCTCAGCCTTCTACAGTCTGTACCCCAGTGCCCCAAAATAAAATTATCAGATCATACTCATGTGCTTCAGAAAACCAGCTCAGTTGTAGAAGGAAGCAGTCTGAGGAGCTTTTTGATGAAGGTGTTGGTTCCATGCTCTAAATCTGCACTGCTGTGGTTCTGGTCTTCTGCCTCCCACCTTGACCATTCACGGCACCTCCCTTTTCCCAGTGCCCACACTCACCTGATATGACAGTGAACCAACACAAACTACAAAAGCATTTGGACTTTTTTGACAGAGAAGCAAGGGTCTCACTTCCTAAGGACAAGTGAAAACAGTGACCTGCAGGTCACTGTTCAGCCCATCCAGTTATTTCTGGAATGCTGTGGCCTATCCAGATGCATCCTGCAATTTTGGGCAGCAGCCACAGGTGACACAAGGTGAGATTCATCCAGAAAAATAAAAGTGCCAACTGCAGACATATTTCACGTAAGAACTGTCTTGAGTTAGGGATCTTCTGTGCTGGCCTGTTACATCCACACTGCATCTATTTTGCATGAGAGTCTCTTAGTGCAGCCAAGAAAGATAAGCCACTGTGGATAAACATTTATTTTGTCTGGCACAAATGTGTATGTATGTATACACATAAGCACTTGGGAAGAAGATATGTTAAGAAAGGGAAGTAGGAAAACTTACATTCACTCAGTACAGAGGGGAGAGAAAGAGAGAAAGAAGACTTAATCCCCAAGAGGGAATATGCCCTTGAGCTTCAGTGAGTTCACTGTGCTACACTGAAGCCTGAGTTCTAGAAGTCTCTCTCACCAATGTGCTGCTAAGTGTGGTAAAGCCCCCACACTTATGGGGTCAGGAGGGACATGAAGGTGATGCTGCCAGTGCATCATGACCTGTCTGCACCACAGTAATGAACAGCAGGAAGACACTGAAAATAAATCATGACAGCCTTTGCTTGCTGTCACCCAATTTCCTTTCAAAAAGGAAACGTTTCAGCAGGGAGTCGAATGCGTGTGCATGACTGGTGTGATACCTGATTAGCACATCAGCAAACGTGGGCATGCAGTTTTGCACGGACTGAGCCTCAAATCCACTCTGCTTCAGGTGTTCTGCTCACCCTGCCTCTGAGAAATGTTTGGACCCCATAAAGGCCAGATGTCCAGTAAAAGTGAAGTCGTACATTTTTCCATATGCAATCCATTCCTCGTCATTTTTCTAGTTTTCTACCCTCCAGTTACTTCTCTCAGCCACAGTCCATAGATTCACTGTTGCAAATTTCTATTTAGAATACAGAAATTGAGCTGCATGCTGCTCAATGTCAGTGACAAAAAAAAAGCAATTTTCACAAGATATACTTAGGATAAAGGCCTGTGTGATCTACCCAGAAGGTACTTTAAACAGAGGTGCTAGTGAAATGACAAAACACTAACAAATGTTTTCAGGCCAAGTATTTTTTCCATCAAAAATCATTCATCAGGTCACCTGTGGCACCATAACTAATGCAGAAGTTGATGGATGTTAATGAATTACAGTCAGTCAGGTGACAAGAAGGCAAGTGCATAAGACATGGAACAGTTGTTAGTTACACAGCCTAGAGCAATCTCAATTGACAGATTTAGCCAACCAAGGTCTCTGGCATTTTCAATGCCATCACATCAACATTAGATGGCAGCAAATACCCGTAAGTTAATACAGGGCAGGAGTTTAGAAAACTGAACCAGGGTGACAATCCCCAACGCTTCAAACTGCAAATACAGTCCTGTCAGTCCCAGGTCCTGAAAAACCCTCCCAAGACCCTCTACTTCAAAACAAACAAAAAGCCAAGCCAAACCAAAAAAACCCCAAAACTTAAATGAACATATCAAGTGACATCCAAAGCCAAACCTTAAGGCAGAGGACATACATGTCAAAATGATGTCAGATGGGAACTTCAAGGCCACCAAGTGATTTACTGACATCCCAAGAGCTTGGTTTGTCACTGCCTACAGAGTACTCCATGGCTGATTACACTTTCTCCCCCCCTGCTCCCCACACTTCTCCTGCAAAGACTGGGATTTTGTACCACTTCTACAACCACACTGCACTTTAGCATTATTTGCCAGAATTTTAGGATACCAAGGATGGATTAAAATTAAATGTGGCTGTCATAGCTCTCTGGTAAGAGAAAGAAGCAGAATGAAGTTTCTTAGTATGATACTTCACTTTTTCCTTTAAATCATTTTTGTTTAGTTTCACTCAGCAGGTTACAATGCAATACAGGCACTATAACACAGAGGTTATTGAAGGATTGTAAGTCACTGCTGGTATAAAATCCATTCTGTTGAATCAGTTGTAAGAGGTTGATTCTGCTTGTTCTGAGCATTTTCTAAACTGTATCCCATTGGTTCACATCACATAATCAGGGTTTTCATTAGAGGCGACTGAACCCCTGGACCATGAGTTACCTTTTATTGCCTAAATAAAACAATTTAGCTCTGCTAGAAAATGCAGCCAAAGGCATGTGAACGCTAGAGGGGAGCAGAGCATCACACCAGCTGAATACATACTGCAGTCCCTTCTGAGGAAAAATCACTGGCCAGGGGAACAATTTGGGATTCCCAGACTTACCGAACTATTATGGCATAAGTGAATGCAAGATGGAAATCTTGTTAGAAGAGATAACAAGCCAGCTAGTTCATGTCACTAATATGTGCCACTGCATTTCATTAGAGCTTCAGAATTTCTGTAACCTGCCTGACTAGACAACTAATATTTACTGGGATGTAATCATGATTTTTTTTTTTCAGCTCATTTTAAGTTCCAGCACTGAGAAGGTAAAGGTCTTAAAAATACATCCCCCCAACAACTTGAGTGTTACAAAGTGGCAGAGATGCTACTCAAAAAGACAGTGCACATTATACCAATACACCCTTGGTATCCCTTTGGGTAATAGACCCATTTTTTTTAATTTCCATTTCACTGCCTGACACAAGTTGGTGTTACCTGGATTACAACTCCAACATTAGAACATTAGAAACTATTAAGTAACAACAGGGAAAACTGGTTTAAAAAAGGGTAAGAATGAAATTGGTGGTATCCAGTAAGCACATTTTCTTCATTGCATGGGACCAATCCAGTCCATATGGAGTAAATTGTTAACATACCTCCTTTCTGCAGCAGATAGATGGGCACAACGTAAAGCATCACATGCTGGATATAATAAATTTCCATTTCAAATGGGAGCTGTGGAAAAAGGAAAATATTTGTAAATATTTTTCATCACTAACAACCAAGTTACAAGGAATCATTCTCCTTAGGACCTATGACAATGCATTGAGCTCAGTTATTTTATCACCTATGCATATTGACAAAGAGCTGACATTAATGGTCAGTGCCTTGAAAGTACCCTGAAACTGTACCCATTCCACTCCCCTTACCACAAATGGAAAGCAGCACTTCCAGTAGGCAATTCCCAAAGTTAGCCAGAAGCACAACACCAAAGGAATAGCATAAGATTGTTCTTTTTCCTTTCTTTGCTTGCATAAATTACCAATAACAATGCAAACCCCTCCAGTAATCAAACCAGAAACTCTGCACACCCCATACAACACAAGTCTTTCCAGAAAGAACAGATACTTGCTACCTTGTGAGTGACAGAACTCTATAAATGAGGTCTTGCATATATATTTTTTTATACTTTTATATATTAATTACCTGCAAAAGAAAGAACCTCAAAAGACCTGATTTATAGCAATCTGCATGCATGCATGGAACTGCTAAGCTTGACCATATATAAAATAAAAAATAACCAGTATTTTATTGGTTTTAAAGAGAAGCTGCAGAAAGATGTGGATAAACAAGTTACCAGTTAGTAGTAAATCATGTATTTCTCACCTGCTGACAACTTTGGGAAGTTACAGTTAGTCATTTGTTTGTTTAGTTGAATTAGTGTAACTTCCTGGAAGAGAAGTCAGGCTGTGCTAAGATAATACTCTGCTAAAAATAACTTGAACCATAATTGAGTTTGAGCCCCTTAAACCAGGCCCAACCAATTCTAGCTCTTTATCAGTTAGTATTTGAAAGTTATTCCCACCTCTAAGTACCTTTGCCTATATCTGTTTATCACACTAAAACAACACATTTAAAATTGAACAGTAGTAGAAAACACTCAAAACCCAGAATTCAGCTTCTTGCTGCAGCTGACTGTGGAGCAGTGTGGCTTTTCAGCTCAGTTATTTTTCTGAAGAGAAAACCGAACAAGACCACAGGTATGAGATCTCACAGGAATAACACAAAGCCATCAGCTTTGGTTCAATTGTCCTGTCATTCTACAGGCTAAAGTGAATTCAGACATGGGACCTACCACTGTGGCTTGTCTGTTGGAAGGAGAGAGGGGGACAAAAGCTTTCCTTTTCTATCGCTGTTCTGAGACACTGAAGCATTGAAACAGATATATTACAGAAATTTCTACATTAACAGAAGAGAGGTTGAAACATAGTTTGGTTTTCTTCCTAAACAGCAGTCAATGAACAGCTGGTAATTAACACAGTGATCTTTTAAATTCAACTACAATTCTTATATCCTATTTTTAATGTAAAAGATGCTAAAACCAACAGCCAGATTCTGCCAGTCCTGGCATCCCCCAGCTGAATGTCTGTTCCCCGATGGCAACCTCCAAGGTGTTCAGCCAGCTCCAGGGAGACTAGGCTAACAAACCTTTCCATACAATCTGTTGGGTTATTTTATTCCAAATATTCTGCATCAGAACATAAACCCAAGCAAGGTAATGGTATGCAAAAACAAGAACTTCATGGAAGTTGTGAGGTTTCCTGAACCTGAACCTTTCCTGCTGTCCCTTGTCGAAGGGCACAGAGAGCAAAGCGAGGGAATTAAAATTTGGGAAGGGGCTAAAGTAGTTTTCCTAATTGGAGAAAAAGCTGCACCTCTCCCACTTCAGAAACAATTGCTCCTGAATATAAACACCATAACGTGAGGCAGGCACTCCTGCCAAGGAGCATTCTCTGGTTATCTGTGGTTCCAAAAGGGCTTCCACTCTCGGAGTTGTGAGGGTCCCTTACACAAACACTGCGCTCAGGACACTCCTGAGAACAGAGGAACAGTTGTTTATGCTGCAGAAGTGTTGACAATATTTTTTTTGTGTGTAAAACAAACATCTTTTTTCCCCACTGTAAGAGATGGATTGTTCTGAAGCCTGGCTGATCATGCAAGTGCATTTCCTGCTGTAGAGCTGCAGAGTTTCTGTACAACCAAGCACTCAAGTTGCACAGCCAGGCTACAACAAACAGAAAATGAAAAAAACCACACCAGAGGAACTATAAAGTTGTACTGAGCAACTGGCTTACCTGGACCTAAATGCCTTGTCTATAAACTGTTTTATCAATAAAAGATTCACTCACAGATAGCAGAGAGGCACCTTCTACATGCAAAGAGAAACTGTAAGTGAAGATAAGCACAGGGGATCACCCAGCAGCTGGTTTTCAGTGGGCAAGCAGGTTAACACTTTGCTGTTTTCTGAAAGTAGTACTCTTCCCTCTGTTAAATATTTGTATCTTGGCTCAAGCACCATACTGTGCAAGAGCAGTTCCTCCATCATTCTGTACAATCACTGCAGAATATGGCAGAAAAGGAACAGAAAGAATTCAACTCCCAGGTTCTGGTCTTTCCTGTAGCACGTCCAGCACACAGCCCAGCAAACATCAAATGTTGCACTGTACCAGCCACCCTCTTAGACATTACCATCAATAACACACCCATACCAACTTAATGCACACAGCATGTACAACTGCCCAGAGATGCACCAGCCTTGGCTTTATCACCTACCAGCAACCCAAGCACAATCTCTCAGTAGCCCCCAACCGTTCCCGTTGTTCTTCCTTGTGCCAGTTAGATAAAGCCAGTTTAGAGACGACTTAATGAGCTACCATGACCTGGTTCACTTTGCTGGGCAGGCACAGGCACTTCAGGAAAACTGAATTACTTCAACAATCAGCAGGCAATGATTGGAGTGTGCATGGAATATACTCAAAGTCCTGCTCAGAGTATGATTCTGCCCCTAACACAGATTTTGAATGTGTACCTCTCTGGCCAAACAGTTCTAATAATAGAAAATAGCAGCTTCTGGAAACATTAAAACTGCACCATTTCAGCCATGTGAGCAGAGACAACAAGTCCAACACCTTTGGGACATGTCCTGTTTTTTACTTTATCTATATCAACATTTTCAGGACATCAGCTTGCAAAAAAAAAAAAAAAAAAAAAAAAAAAAAAAAAAAAAAAAACACCACAACAATCTACTTTTAAACCAGTAGAAAGAGTTTCCTTTAAAATTTGATTAATGCAATATGAAAGCTCAAACAAACCCAGTTACTTTCCAAACACTTGGAGTCTTTGTGCCAGTTAAATGAATTTACCCACATAGCCTGGTTATCAGGACCTACACTGTGTTCCATGTAATATAAACAGAGTAAAAAGAAGTCATTCTACTCCTGTATATCCTCTTATACCTTTCTAGGGTCCTACTTGGGAACCTAACAAGCCAATCCCCTTAGCATCTTCTTCTCTATTTACTTAAGAGTCACAAAAGATTACCCTTTGATTAGAGTGAATAATTAATGCTGATCAAGAATTAATCACATCATGAGAAAGGGATGAAATTATGAGGGAAAATTAAAATACCCTTTATTTCTGAAAGGATAAGAACTCACAAAATAATACTGCGAGTTCTGACTAAGAACTGAACAAGCTGACTGAATAAGAAACAGTTTTATCTCTATCCAGTGTCTATTCCAACGCACAAAATTTAATTCCATCAGCACATCATAAATAATGTAGCAAATAACTGGAGTATTTAGATGCCAAATAAATACAAGTGGGTGCATGGGTTGCATCTGTTAATTGTTGACACCTCAACATCATGCCAAGGCAGGAAAATATTTTCTTGGAAAGAACAGAATAGACTGACCTCATCTTTCAGGCTACATTTGTTTGGAACACTATCCCAGGTGCCCATTATAGTCCAACATGATTTTTGACAAGCACAGTTTAACTGAAAGATTAAAACAACAAAAGGTAGAAACTTTCTTCTGTAGGTACAGTGAATATCTCAACTCTCCATTTCCACTGTCGATAGACTACTATCTAAGAATAATTTTGAAATGACTGAGGTTCTAAAAAAAAAAAAAAAAATTAACAGATGCATGACAAGAAAATGGAAACCATGAAATTATGCCAGAAGCTTAACCCAATTTATTTTTCAGGATAATTTAATGTTGAAGTAGTTATACAAAAAGAATACTTACAATGCATTCAGTAATGTATTGGTAGCAAAAACGTGTGACCCAACAGCCTGTGCCACAAAATGTTTTAAGAGGTGTTCTGGAAATTACACTGAACAGGTTAACACTTGGAAGCAAAACCCTGATATCCACTAAATCATCCATCAGCTGGTGAAGCAATGATCCTCTTCCATTCTCTATCTCCTGCCTTTTGCCCCTTTCAGATTATTGGTAAGCACAAATAAAACTGCACATCTAATATCTTTTCCTGCATCTCACTGCGTTCATCTCCCTAATGATACACAACTTGCCAGCTATTATGCACATGCCTCCTGCTGAACTTGCTAAATTAGCAGGTGTCTCCAAACAGAGACTACAGATCAGCACCATTATTTGCTGCCTGCAAGATTCCAAACAATCACATGGAAGAGGGAGCTTTAGGACAATGTCAGCCGAGGACAACGAAAAACCTACCACAAGACAACATCCAATTGTATATCAAATAATTCACAAAGACAAAACACATTTTACATTCTGAAAGGCACCAGGGAGGCATTTTGGCACTCAGGGCCATGCATCCATTTGACACAACCCCTCAAAGTGATGGGAGGCACCAATCTCCTGCTCTCCAGCTCCACTGACCTCAGAACTCTCTCTGCCCCAGACCATCTCCCTCCCCACGCTGGGTTAGATGACCAATTTTTCATGCTCTTTGTGCCACACACTATATATTACAACTATTTACAGAAATATCTAAGTATATAACATTTTTGTATGAAACACACAAAAATATGACATAAAATATCATAAAACTGAAATCTGAAGTTGCTGCATAGAGACACGACAATTCTCGATAACCAAAAGTTTTTCACTTAGATACTATAAATCAGAGCAGACAGCTCAGACAAAATTATTGAGATTCTTTTGAAATTCCTACTAAGGACATTTCCTGCTTTCAGGACAATGTCAGCATAAACAACTACAATGATAGTTGTGGAGCTGAACGTCTGTCTGCCATGAGAGAATCTGGGTCAAAACAGCAGCACTCTACAACATCACCCACATTATCTTGTGCCAGAAGAAACATTGAAAAGAGAAAAGCTGTTAGGCCAAAAATATCCTAAGTTGTATTTACTCCAAAAATATTTGCTCTTGGACATTGTCCTTTGGCTCCTCCAATCCTAATTATGGAGACAATTTTGTGAATAGTCTGCATCTTTCTTATTTAATCACCACTGCCCTAATATGAGTGACATCTATGATTGTGGTAGAGAAAACAAAAGCTAATGAGTTATTAAATACTGCAACATTTTATCCTTCAAAGGTTACCCAGGAAAATAATTTTGTCATGCTTAAGGTTATATTTACTTGAAAACTAGATGGCTTTAAATACAAAATAAAAAGATTTATCCTTATCGGGAAAAAATCCCACTTGTTTTATTCATTTGATGCCCTTCAGCAGTATCAAGTTTTAATAAAACAATTGCAAACTGCATATAAGCATAAGTTTATACCTAATCTTATTTAGACAGTTAATATCTGCAAAGGGAGAGCCAATAACAAGATTTGCAATGGAGTCTGAAGTCCACAACAATTTTGTTAATAATATTAATTCACGTGCCATATGGCCAATAGGTTTAAGAATCTTACTAGGCACAACAATAGGTTAACTTTTTGTCCAGGAGACTGGAGTTTTATAGCAGATTTGAAAACTTAGATGGGAAAAAAGAAACCTGCTGTGCCTAATCTTGGGAGAGAGGGGTTGACAGCCAAGAAAAACATTTGGCATTTTCCAGGTCAGAGGAATCTTACATTTACACAGAGTCTGAAAAGCCTGAAACTGAATTTTGACCACATGCCACCAGGTTAACCTGTGAAAGCCTCTTTCAAAGCCATTAAAGTTTCCTCTCCTTTAAGGCCAGGATGGAACTGATGCTTGGAATGCAGCAGTGTTGGCTTTTCACACCGAGTTACAGACACCCCAAAAATCCAGGATTGGTATTTTGGCTCCACTGTAATGACCTGTACCGGGAACCTACAGCCTGGTAAAATAAACTTTAAAAGGCCAAACAAAGCAAAGCTCTGACATCTTTCCAAAGAAAATCTTTTAGAAATAAATTAAAAAGGAGGAAGAAAACTACAGTACACTCACCAGGCGGGTATTAACAACAGGAAACAGCAATGCCAACAGGGCCCCGTTCAGCATGTGCATCTGCAACCTTAGAAAAAAGATGGGATACTCTTTTCACAGATGGAAATCCAATGCAGTGCTTTCACTTATTTTATGTAGTAAAATAAGTGCTCTTCAATAAAAGGTAGCAAGACACATAAAATTCTTTTGGCTTGAATTTGAATAAAGTCATTGTTAAATGCAATTAATGAGATACTGGTAAATGCAATAACCAGGACAAAAACATATATTTAAATACACATTTGTAGAATTTCCTAAAGTAGGACTGCTTTCTATAATAAGCTTTGGATTCCTAGAAAGCCTGGACAGTCCATAATCCTGTTCATGATGCAAGCTGCTAGATAGCTGGAATTCTGCTGTTCACTTGTCTTCCAGAGCTTAAAATAGCATATTTGATAACAGTTTTTATCCTGCTTAACCCTACGAATGTATAGCTTCAAAGAAAAGCTTCAGCAATCTGAAAGAAGTCCCTTAAATAAAAGAACTACATTTATCAAAATGCAACAACAAGTTCTAAACAAAGCATGAGGTAGGACAGTAGTGTTATAATACTGCATTTTATTCAGTTTTCAACCATCTTTTTCTGAACCACTGTTGCATCACAGGAACAGAAAAATTGTATCTTACATAAAGGAGACTGAAACAGTTTGGATACTAAGTAAAGCATAAACTGCCACCAACCACTGAACCACTGCCTGTCATAAACTGTTAGGAATTTAAAAGGAATTTGAAGGGGGGGACGAGGGGGAGAAGGTATTACAATTTTAAAACAGTCTTTCACACATAATTTATATGCTGTCAGGGTGTCAAAATAGAAATACTCAATCTGAAACAAACAAACAAACAAACAAACAAATATTGTGGCCTCTGCTCTATAACCTTTAGCAAAGATTTCCTGGACACCAGACATACTCTTCACACTCTCCAAGATGGAGATGCTGACACAGGATCCCTATAATCCAGCATAAAAAATAAGGAACAACGGGGAAAAGTTGCAGAGAGAAGGTAGGAGGCATTCCCCCAGCATAATTTTTCCAGTAAATGTCCACAATTAGACAAGAAAGAGCTGAATTTAATGTCAGGGTGGCAATTACAGCCATTCCCAACTACCATTCTGCCTGGGAAGTCCCCTGACCCTCCCCACAACACAACTAATTCAGTCCTTTAGCTGCTCACTGGACTCTGCTGCCGTAGCCCATTAGAGCCTCCTGCACATTAGAAACTCTTGTGGTTCCTAAAGTAACATGCAGTATTTTAGGAAAGATTGCATGGATTTGAGAAATACCCAGGTCAGCAAGAATTTGCATTAACTATTTGACCTTTCCTATCCACAATTTTAAAATTAGCCCCATACTGTATGCATGGCCTCCAATGAGGCCCAGTTACTAATTTTTACTGAGGATAATAAAAAGGTGCAAGGCCCATGACACAAATTACAGCAGCTCATACATTAATCTGCATTAACTCCTCTATTACTGAGCTAATTCATGTTCAAAAGTGAGGCCAAACCCACCACAGAGAAGCACCAAGGGTATGTGGCCCAACACTCACCCTTTAAGCTCTGACTCCCTTCAATGTATCATTTTTCAATCCAACCAATATGCATTTCCAACTGGACACAAAACTTAGTATTTTATGACTTAAGCAGTGATTAACTTCTAAAATACATTATGAAAGTAGACAGAAATGTAGTAAGGAAGAGGTATTACCTGAAGAGAATCATTGCAGTCCGACATGGGGGACAGGCGAGAAGAAAAATCTGAAACGTCAGAAATAAATTCACATTAATGACATGACCTCTTTCAGACTCCATTTTCTAAATCTTTCCTACCCAGTTCTGTATGTCACAAATCATTGCTAACCAGAAGAACTGTTTTACAGCAGAGCTAGAAAAGACTAAAAATCTTGAAAAGAATTAAAAGGTCTCACTTCACCCACATAAAAAGGATTTAAGCAGTATGAGCAGCACCAAGAGTTCAGTGCCAAACAAACAAGTCAAATTCTAGCTTGTTGTTATTGGCTTTATAAAAGGTCTCTCAAAAAGCAGATTACTGTATTAGCAATCATTTTCTACAGCAGGTCCCTCAACCCCCAATCTTGATAAGGTCCTTGCTGTGCTAAAGACCAGCACTTACAACAACACCACTGCCCTTCCCTTCAGCAGTGCCAGATCCAGCTCTTGAGGGTCCCACACAAGATGCCTGTCTCTGAAAGCCTCCTAATACTTCCCAAAATAAGGCTACCACAGTATCTGCTCTATGTGTAAGCTTAGCAGTCACCTTTAAATGCTTCCATTGTCACACTCAGTATTTGGAAACTACTGTAAAAATGTCACCAATTATTAGCCACCAAAAGTAACTGAATACAATGGGAGCAGCATGTTTGTTTTTCTTTTCAGGCCATACTCCTACCATAAATAGGACCTGATCTAAATTTTTATGTAATAAAGTTCTGTTGATTTGCTAAAATGCCCCATCTAAATTTAGAGGACAAGCATCATCCTTTTATATACTGACACAAGACATATGTTGCTTTTGAAGCACAGTTAATACTGCCATGAAACAAATTCTGCTCTTCCAAGATAAATTTTTTTCTTTCTCTTTCCTACATCTTAAAAAAAAAAAACAAACTAGAAAACTACAGATTGAGCTTTTTCTTTATATGCACAAATTAATCAAACCAGAAATGTGTCTTAATCACACCAGACATTTCTTTTTCTAATGCACTGCAGAGTGCTCCAACTACTCCATGGTAGAGCAAAAGCTACAATACATGTCTGTACACTGAATCTCAGTGCTGAGGGTAAAAACCAGCTCACATTTAAAAAGGATGGCACTGCTACAAAGTCTCAGATGGACATACCAATTTAAAACACTTCACTACCATGGAGACAGGCAAAGGAGAGAACAAGATTCACAGCTGCTTATTTTTACTTCAACTCTACTGAAAGAAACATTTTTAGGAACTGATGAGGGAAAAATAAATATTTAACACTTTTAAGCATGCAAATCCCTCTGTTAGGGGGCATCTTTCACAAAATAAGCCTGACTTCCATTTTTTACGACAGCAGAAAATTCATAACCAGAATGTTTATGTTAAAACTCAGGATTATGGAACAGATCTTCAAATGCTTCAGCTGTCAGCTGCAAATTTTCTCCTTTGTCTAACATTTCCTAGTTTCTTTGACATGTTAGCATGCCACGTTTCCCCAGCAGTTTTAGTAATCAACATTTCAAAAATCAAGACTAGTAAAAATCTCAAGAGCTATTCTCAAAAGATATGTACAATCTTTTGTTCAAAATGGAACAGCAATACTGCCTCTGAACTAAAGAAAAACACCTCTTCAAATACCTATTAATTGAATGTTATTGCCTCACTTCATGAGCTAAATAGGGAGAGCTCACTGATTTTGTTTGTTTGGTCCTATGAGTTGGCTGGATTTCCGCTTTTCTTTTATTCCAGAACGTTCCAAATCTCTACAAAATACTACACATAAGAGCTCCCCTCAGAAGTATTTTAATGGCACTAATTTTCAGTCAGTACACTGCGGCAGAGAGCAAAGTCAAAACTTGTCATGAAAAGCTTTTCTTCCACCAGCCTTAGCCCTGCTGAGACAGAAACATGCATAACAAAGATCATCTTGTTTGATCAACAAACTAAAGAGACAAAAGACAATTCAAAAGGTAGGGGGGAAGAACAGAACGAGTCACAGAATTCTAACCATTCCAGATTCAGCATCACACGAAGTAGCACTCCTGGGATCAATGGGAACACTTACAGATGTCTGAGTAGCTCCTGGCAGAAGACAGCCAAGCACAGGACGAGTAAAACCCCTGCATCTCACACACACAGCACGGATTTCATTCACCTTTCAAAACCGCAGCTTGTCTGTCCCTGAGCCGCCTGTTTGATTTAGTATCTCCTTGCAGCAGTCTGGAAACACATCTTTCTTTTCAAACACTGCAGTCCTGATCACTTAACCAGATCATAAATTGATTGGTTTAGTGTACTATTTCAGAATGAAAGCTTCAAGAGGTTAGACTTTAATTTCTACTGGCAATATTCAGAGCAATGTGAAAAATTCAGGGAAACCAGATTATTCCAAAATTGGAATGAATTTAAAACAAAAGGAAAAAAAAGCAAGAGAGGGACAGGCTTTGGTCAATCTGCACTGAAATAAAACTTTTCACCCTCTTAGGTGTATCCAAGTACTCTCCAGAGCAGAAGAGATTAAAAGGTATGTTTAAAAGGCTAAGATACAGTAAAGTATACTTACCCAAGAGTGGTAGGGTTAAGTGTACTTTACTGTACTTATAAAAACCATCCATTTTCCCACACAAGACAAGGAACATCTAAGCAGAGGGACAATTTAAGAGATGTTAAAGTCTTGGTTAATTAACTCGAAACTTAATGTTAAAGTAAGTTCAAAACAATCATTCTATCATTTATCAGGAAGTAATAGTTTAACAGCTCCACCTTATAGCTTTGACTTGGTATTTCTTTCTGTATAAACTATCAGTTCAGCCCTACCACTTATAAGCCATCATTTGCTTTCTGAAAGGTAACTGAAATAAAAATCATACCTGTGGTTTGACAAGCTCAGACTGCCACATCTGAAAAAGATGTTACATTCCAGTTGCTAAATAGCAGCAAGTTGAATGTATTTAATATTTTAGCATAAAAACCACAGCTGCCTCACTGTCACACAGCTTTAGGGATTAATGTGTCCTGTGGAATTGCTAACCTAACGTGAAGGATACTCATGATTCAAAGCAACACTGCTGGCAGAGCATTAAGAAATACTTCAATAAAAGTAGCTTCTGTGTTACATAAACCAGACTCTGGCAGCACAGGAAGCTGCCTGTCCCTGCTTTCCACCTCCCAGCTTCCCAGTTCTACCCAGGGATGGATGAGGTGTAGCAAGTTGAACAGCTTCCATCCTCTATAATCTAATGTATTGTAAATTATATATGTTCATTAGGACAGATATTCTAGATTAATCTCCCCTTCCACAGGCTTAGTTTTTTAATTGATAAACCTATACTCACCCTCTTTCCTTTTAGAGTCTTAGGTAAAAGATTTCTAGATTTCTCATATTTTAAGATTAATTATTAACATGACTCAGGTCTTTCTATGCGTGCATTAGCTTTAGTTATCACATCTTAGTATTTCAGAGGTCACTGAAGTTACTTTTCCTTTTTCCCCTCACCACTTTATGCACCAGTCCTTCACTAGTAGTGGGTTACTTCATTCCCCATTCTTAAAATCAGTGCTTTAACAAAACCTGACAATCAAAAAAGCAAAAGTCCGATTTCTTAAGAAAATCTAAATTCAGTGTAAATTAAATTAAATTACATTGAAATCTGTCAGTGACACTGCGGGAGCTTGCATGAGTTCACAATAAAATTTTTACATGCACTTTCATATACATTCACTTTTGTTACGTCTTCCTCCCCAACAAGATGTTTTGCATCAGTTTCCTACAGAAGTAAAATCATCACAGCAAAGTCCTGCTCTACTCGGCCTCAAATCACCAATACCTTTTTTCCTGTTGCAGTTCAAAATCCCTCAATTTGTTGGATTTTACAACAGAAATTTGTGATCTTTAAAACCAGCAGAATAATAAATATCTAATAGCCTTACTACAGCCGATTTTTGCCAAAGAAACAGAAACAGCAACACAATCCACAAAAAACTAAGGCATACAACACCACATTCCTGATAATTTAAGTTGGCATTTCACTAACCAACAAAGTATCACAGTACAAACAATTAAATTGGCTTGACACTAATTACTTGGCCATCTGAATAAACATAAACCCTCACCACAGCAATCTAAAGCCCTGAGGAAGTGTCACCAGAAACATGAGTGCCATTACACCCTTTGCAGGTTTCGAAATCATGGCTCAGGTGAACATCAAGGTTCAAATTGCTGCAGGGAATGGACAACCCCTGCAGTAAAACTCATCATCTGTGACTGGCAGTGTAAACATTTACAGCAGGGCAAGGAGACAGCACAGAAGGGTTTCTTAGACTGGAAGGTGAAAGACATCCCAATCCTTGGAATTTATAAGGTGTCCAGTATGGTCACTGCTGCTGTTTTAGTCCACCACCCCACTGAGGTTCCTAAAGGCTTCAGGCAGCTACTCCTGAAACATCAGTTTAAGTCACCAGCAAACAACCTATATGAAATGGTGGGTGAAACTGCCAAATAGGATAAAAAAAAATCCTTCCTAAAAATATATTGCAGCCAACAGTGATACATTATAACACACTGAAACAATATAAATAGCTCTGTTCTCAAAAAAAAGAAACTAAACAGAAGAGGAAAAAAGAAAAGAGGTCTGTCCCTCTCTAATATGTTGCTCGAACTACTTATGTGGTCCTTTGAATTATATTTGCTTTAAATGTATGATGATCTCATCAAAACAAACCAATATCTGGTTACTTAATCATTCATCTAGTGGCCTTTAGATGATAACCCTCAGTGTAAATATTTGGGGTCGGAGAAAGTTAAGCTTTTTCATCTACAATTTCCAACCATTCAGTTCCTATTCCGGTTTAGAGAGCAGGATTACTCTGTATCAGTTCCCTGCTTGTTATATTCTTTTCTCCTAAAAGTATCCAGAATAAAGGAGAGAATTACCTACCCTCAAGCACAGAGGCATTTCCAAATTCTAGCAACTTCAAAGCAAAGGCTTAACCAAGAGCTTTAGATTCCAATTCCTCAGCTCAAACATTGACCAGCACCATGACACATTCCCGTGGTCCCTGTCACCTGGACTAAAAGGCGCATTTTCAGCTCAGGATAAACCATCACAGGCCAAATCTTGTTTAAATTAAAATGGCTGAACCATAATCTTCTGAAACAAAGAAAACCGTGAATCACAGCCTTAAGACATATTTGCTATCCTTTCTATACTAAATTAAAAATGTCTATTATTTCTGAATAGGAATCCTTGCCATTCCTTCTCCATTTCTCTACTATATGCTGGGATTTACTAAAAATAAACACAGTGGTGAAACGAAGTATATACTATGTTAAAACTATCACAGAAAAGCTTTTCCTCAGCTCACCAAATAATTACTACATTAATTACAGTATCAGTAAAAGCCTCTAAACTTCAGTTGACAGTGTCTTTGAAACCCAACAAAATCATTGCTTAAAACCAAATTGTAACAATTAAGAAAAGGCTGACAGTTCTCAGAACCAGGGGCAGATTAAACCACCCGAGCACGCCCTGGTGCTCTGAAAGCCACACTCATAATCTGGAGCATCACAGACCCAGCATAAAGGAAGTGAAGAAGTGTCTCCTGATCTGCCACTTCCTATCTGTGCCCCTGAGGCTGCCATCACCTTCCTGGGGGTAAAATGCCCTCTTTTGCAAGAAATGAGGTTTGCAACTGAGAAACACTGGTGCTTTCAGTGCTCCTTCCCTAAATGTGAAATGAAGAACTGCTACATGAACACAAGGGTTGTGATTGAAGAGTTAGAAAAATTTATAGCTTAAAGAATACAGAACAGATAAAGAAAATTGGTTTGATATCATTGGTTTTGACACTGCAAGGCATGAAACCCTTTCACCTCACAAAAGCAATTCTGTAGGTGTTCTGATGCTCTTACACAGGGAGACAACACTTATGCAGACACTTCTCAACAAGCACATTCTGGCTGCTGCCAAAAGTCTCCTTCACAAAACTTGCAAAGAAATCAACAGTGCTGTGATTGGCTCTTGAGGGGACCCTCCCTCTTCCACTGCTGAATCAGAAATTTAAGACTTCCTTCACACAGACAATTTCAGTACCACAATTCCGTGCCCTAAAATACTGGAAAGGATTAGTGTCTTCAAAACATAAACCTGGTTCCTTAAACATACGCTGAATTTTTTCCTGCTATGCAAAGGCCAATAGGTTTGCAACACCCTAAGGATTTAATGTTTCCCTCTTAGGATACCCTTTTATGCCAGGTTTACAGCAGCAGCACTTGCTCCAGTTATATCCCCAGTCTTAAAAGGCAAGTGGTTTGTGGTTTGGTTTTTTTTTAAACAGAAGTATTCAAATAATTTTCACAAAGACCATTCTTTACAAGAAGAAAGAGTTCAGTATGAATTCCTTCATAGACATCTCCCCTTGATGCACCAAACATTAGCTAAGCATTGTACTGCACAAACCAAGCCCATCCCCATCCAACAGCTGGCAGAGAAACCAAATAAGTTTCCATTCATCTTTGTTTTAAAATACATATAGTATTTTTAAGAGTCGAAATATTTATCTCTCAATGATGCTGCACTTATGACACTAGTGAAGAAACACCCTTCTTCCTCCAGAAGCTCTGCAAGAAGCCAAAACCCAGAGCAGGGCTGGAAATGATTATCACTGTTTGTAGATAATTCAGCCAGGTGACAGGGCAGCAACAAATTCTCTGAAGCTGATTAACCACAACAACTGTTCAGGCAGTTAAATATGTTCACTTCATTGACACTTCCTCCTTACAATGACACATCTAAGCTAATTCTTTCCACTTATGAAAAGACTTGATTTGAACAGAAGTTGGCATGATAGGCAGAAATTAGACACCTGATCAAAACAGACTCAGTTGTAGAACCCAGTAGCCCTAATATTACTCAGTTTTGTCTTCCCAAATGCACCACACATCTAAATCCCATATTATTTTGATCTCATTTCAGTCTTAGGTCTTTTAAGAGCAGAACTTTAGCTTTTATGCAGAGAAAATCTGAAGGATAACTTCTAGTTCCGAATATTTTTGGCTCAGAGCCCAGAGCCTTTGTTGTTGAGGTGAAAGAAGTCTCAGCTGAAGAAAATGAAAAGAGAAATGGAGTGAAAGAAGAGCACTTTAACAACAGCTACTGTTGGCTTCTCTTTGAAGTGATCCTGATTGTTGTAGTACCTTTCATCTCTTCACCTCCTACTTTGTTCATCCTATTATTTAGACATGGCAGCAGGGTTATGTATAAACTACTGCAAGAACAGAAGTGAAAGATAAATTATATTGTCATATATTTCACCTTGCCAACCTGTTGCCCTTCAGATATTTAGGCCAAAAATCAATGCTTGCAAGATTACACCTATCTATTACTTGTCTGCTGCTGGAAGTCATTGACTATCCCTGTGTCTAACCTGGTGTCTCTGTGGAAAGCTGTTGGTTTTGCCATTATTTTTATCCTCTACATTAAGCCCAAGCCTGTTTCTAAATGAAGGGCCCAACTTCTGCATTTTGCTGACATACCCACCTTCTCAATTTCACAAATGCTGGAACACCATTTCTAATGACTAATTAGCACAGGATTATTTTTAAAAGCTTCGCAATTGGTCAAAAAGAGATTCAGAACAGCCCATGCCTGACTACAGGGCTCAAGTCTCCATCTCCTTGGGGAAGGCATTATTGAAAGAAGTGAACAATCCTTGCTCCCCCATGGCTCTGTAAGCATTTTGCTGAACATCATAACATCCTATCATAAAGACAACTAAACTTTCAAATCCTACTGCTAACATATCCCCACCTCCTTTCTGGAGAATTACTAGGAAAATTTCCCAGTTATCACTGAGTATTGACTAGAAATGGAATGTGGCTGTATGATTTCATTTTAATTACTTCTACATAGTCATTCCATAACTTCAGTCCCAATACTGACTAACTGATTGCACAGCAATCACTACCCCTTCACAGGAAGGAAGTGTCCTATGCTGTAAACTACTGAGCAAACATTGCATCACGGCCTAGGAATTTACATAACCTACTAATTAAGTTCCGGAACTGTAAATTAATTGCTGTACAGGTCTTGAATATTGCTGTACCACTCTTGAAATAATACCCATCTCCCTCAAACCTCTGGTACAACCAGAAAAGATGTTTCCCGTCCTGTTAGGACATGCTCTCCAGGTGTGAATCCAACAGCTGGCTTGATCTGATTCAGCCCAGATCACTTTGCATCCTGCAGTAGGAGACCAAGAATGGCACTGATCCAATATTACTGATCCTAGACAGTTGTTACCACGCCAGCTTTTATGAAAGCCTTTTTGACACTCTTCTAAGTTGTTTCTAATCTTCTAAGCTGAGGATTCAACATTAGCAAAATTAAACAAAGTAATAATTTTATGTCTCCCACCCTTCTTACCAAGCTCAGTGGGACTGACAGTTAAGTACATCTATAGGAGTATTAACAAACAAGCTTCTAGGCTTTAGATATCCCAGTTCAGTAACTGTTTATCTATGTATCCTTCTATGTATCCATTATTTTGAAATCTATACAAGTTGCACATTTTTACACATCAACAACAAGTCATTAAAACACATGATTTATCCACAGGTATTAGGCCATATTACCTTGTTCAACTCCATGTCTGAGACACAGGTAACACCTGCTTCCTCAGGTGTTAAGATTAGAAAAGTAAACCAACAAAGAATAATTTATTTCTTCAACACCTTCACAAAATACATTCACACCCAAAGAAGTCACTTGCTTGAAAAAGTTGCACAGAGATTACACAGCTGCTTTCGCAATTATCCTGTTCTCATTAGGTTTGGTGCAAATTTGAGCACTACTGTCAGCGGAAACAGCCTCTTCTAGTCTTGAAACAAGGATCAGGTGAAAGCAAGTGCTGAGAAAACCTTAATTATTTACATTTTCAACCGGAGATTAGGACATTAATCATAGCTACAATTTCACCTTTTCATCTGACTCAGGTTACTTGAGAGATTTCACTTAAACTGACTAAAAATTGAGTTTAAAATGTTTATATCAATTCTTAGCATTTGTACTTTTGCTATGCACTTTTGGTCCACAAACAGACTATGGGAAAAATACTGCCTTGCAAGTACACCACAAAAGCCAACTTCCAGGTGACCCTACACAAGCCTTACCTGCATCATGGTGACCACATGGCAGGGATTCAGGAGGTAAATGACAGTCCTGGTGGCAAACTTGAAGCCCACCTCCAGCCCAAAGATGAGGCAGAGCAGCACCAGCAGCACGTTCTTGCCCAAGCTCTCCTGCTTAGTCTGGGGCTGCTGCAGCAGATTCTCCAGCTCCCTGAGGTGCAGATGCCTGAGCTTCCCCAAGGACAGGAGGATCTCCACGATGCCTACGCTGAGGAAGACCAAACTCTCCAGCAAGCGCTGCTTCCCCGAGAGAAAGGCAGCGCATTCCGGCCCTCCATTGCCGGCAAAGCTGGGGTCCACCCCCCCATACATCCAGTCCAGGAGGTTGTGGAGGCTGTAGCGAGACATGGCGGGACGGTGCCTCTTCTCCAGGAACAGGTACGAGCAAGACGGAATCAAAGCCAAAATTCTGCCGGGCTGACGAAACATGAAATGTCCAGAGGTTCCCTTTGCAGTCCTTCCTTCCCGGGCTCCAGGAGAACGGGGCAGCTCCGCCCGGGGCAAGGGCAATTCTTCACTCTCCCTTCCGATGCCCGGAGGAGCCCCGCTCGCAGCAGCCTGCGGGGAGGGAGAGGCCGCAGCTGCACGGAGCCTGTGAGCTCCGGAGCCTCGAAGCTCCAGACCCCCCGCCCCGGGACCCCTTCTCTTCCCACCCGGCTCTACCGCCCACCCCCGCCGCTCTCCCCTTCCCCACCGTGCAGGGCTGCCCTTACCCGCGGTCAGCGCTGTGACCTGCCCGCCCCCTCCCTCCCTCCTTCCCTCCGCCCGGTCCCAATCCCGGTCCCCCCCGTCCCCGCATCCCCCGGCGCGGCGCGGCCGCGGTACCTCCGCGGGCAGGCGGGTGTCAGGGAGCGGCAGGCCCAGCGCCCCCGGCCATGGCGCCGGCCCCGGCGAAGGGAAGGGACGGGAAGGAGGAAGCAACGCTCCGCTCGGCGGCAGCGCCGGCACGGCCGAGACTCCGGGCCCGAGCGGGCGGGCCGCAACCCGCGGCTGGCCCGGCCCCTGCCCGGCGCCGCAGCATCACCCCACCGACGTGCCTGACTCACGCCGAAAAATGGACGTGTCCCCCCGAATTGGCTGCGCCCGGCCGCCCGCTCCTCCCTCCGCCCCGGCTGCGCCCGCCTCCCGCCGCTCCCCATCGCCTCCCTCCGCCGCTGCTCCCTCGGCGGGCTGCGCGATCCCCGTCCTCGGCTCCCTCCTGCCTGTTGCCTCTGCTCTCGTCTGGCTGCTCCCCTCCCTCCTCCTCCTCGCCCTTATCGCAGTCAGCCCCACGCAGCTGCCCGCGGTTCGCCCCCTCGGGAAGAAGGGAAGGACCGGGCACAGCTCTGCACGCCCGTCACCGTGGTCCCGTTCGCCGACCCGCTCGGCAGCGGCCTTAACTCGATAAACGAGTTTTTCAAGTGCCATTGCAGCTGGTGTAGGTCGGCCAGGGAATGGCAGTGGCCCGCGCAAGAAAGGACAAATCCGAGTGGGGCTCCAGCTCCAAACCCGAGTGGGGCTCCAGCCCAGTCCCGGTCTGGACGCCAGCAGGTACGTGCAGCCAAGTGTGCCCGGTGCCATACCCGGGTACCTGCAGCCAGGTGTGCCCGGTGCCATACCCGGGTACCTGCAGCCAGGTGTGCCCGGTGCCATACCCGGGTACCTGCAGCCAGGTGTGCCCCGTGCCGTACACAGAGCACAGATCCCACTGGTCTTTGTGACTACACGATTTACTTCCACGTGTGCCAGACCGAGCCCTGTGGAGCAAAAGCCAGATTTGGTTCCTAGTTTGTGGGTTTGTGAAGCAGTTGTACTGTAAACATGTATCTGAAAGGCAAAGGTCCGTGGAGATCTAGCTGGAGTAGTGGGTTAAGGGGGTGTTGTTGAGGCAATTGGAGCCATGGACATCCCCTGAGAGCTGTCTTGTCCTTCAGATTTTATTTCACATAACCTGTGTGCAGCACATCTTTCCATCCTGACCATTACAACAGGGCTGCCCTTCTCCACAGGACAGCGCTAGGACAGCTCTGTTTCAGGTCAAACTGTTAAGCTTGCTTAATTCCAGAAATAAGTTTGAAAAAAACACGGTCAGGTATCAATACTGGCTGACTCAAAGGGATTTCCATGTAGAAAGAGGGGCAGCAGCCCCTGGTCTGTAAAGCTGGAGGCAGTATGTGAATGCCATTCTGCTGTGGAAGCAATTAGTCTCTTTTTGGGAAATAAGGTGTCCCATCAGGCTTTTTCAAGGTCTTCAAGGGCTCCTATCCACAATAGGAGCTTGATAAGAATTCTACAAAATGCTGTTTTCTCAATCATTGCTGATTCATCAAAACACCTAAACCTGCAGCACAAACCTCCTGCAAATATCTCCCCCATTAACTGGACACACATACACACACACGTGCCATATACACACACCTCCTGCCCCAATCTGCCTGTGAGGCCTGAATACTCAAAACAAGCAACTCAGCACTGTCACCAATATTTGGCAGTTCTTTTCTTCCTCTATTTCTAAAACACAGGATTACTGCTCACAAAGATAAGCACAGAGTATTTTCTCTCAGGGGTCTGCCAATTTGATCATTTGCTGCCATGTGCAACCTGGAACAGATCTGTCTCCTTCTACTCCCTCGTTCACATACAAGAAGACATTCTGCTGCTAGAAGCAATTCCAGGCAGTTTTATATCTTACTTCTGCATTTCATTCAGTCTCTCACCTTTGGCAGTGTCTGTGGTCTGTTTCTCAGACTTCTTTCCTGAGCTTTCCTTTGGTGAAGTGAAAAACCCCTTTTATTAGAACAGCAATACGTTGTCAGGTGTTGGTATCTCTGATGTGACTTCTTTAGAATAGGGCCTAGCCACAAGAATATAATGGCTTGGTTGGGTGGTTTGGGGTTGTTGTGGGGTTTTTTTGGAGACTGCCAGTGAAGAATAACTGGATGAGAATGTTAAAGCGGGGCAGCATTTTCCTCACAAAAAAAAAGCATTTGCAAAATGACAGCTTGTTGTCCATAGAAGAGGAAGGAAAAAGAACAGCTAAATAAAAACAGATGTCATGAAAGATAAGGACTTAAGCAATCAGTACTTAAGACCTCATAGGAAGGAAGTCTAAAGAAATGAGTTAAGAAAAGGAATGATGCTTTAGAAAATAATTTGAAAGGCACATTTATCCCAGTTGTGAGTAAGATAGAAATAACAGTAAGCTTAGCTTGACCACATCATGAGGTCTCCCTTGACCTTTAAGCACACAAAGAAAACACAAAGGAAGATGGGTCAAATTATTAAGAAAAAGAAAGACTAAAAAAGGTAGTGCTGCAAAACCATTGAACTATCAAGAGCTATCCTTAAGTATATTCATACTAAGAAAGAGATAGAGAAATTATTATTCCTTTACTCAATAGAGAAGAAAATCTGTTAACAAATTATAAAGAAAGCTAAAGGGATTGTTGCACCTGTTGTATCAGACTTACAAAAAAGACCATGTACAAGCAGATAGTTAGGACTGGTGACACTGAGAACAAAATTTTCTCAGCCCAGAGTAGGTAAAGAACAGATAAGGAGCACTCAGATGAACTGAATATTTTCAAATAGTTTGAGTCTAGCGATCATAATCAAAAGACAGCTGAAGAACGACTGAATTAAGAAGGTGAATGAGAAGCTGAAAAAAACAGAAGAGGTAACTGTAAATTGCTGTTATCAAAGTGGGGTTGGAGCCAGAGAAATACAGCTTGATTTAAGTGTAATTAACTGAATCCATGGAAAAATCCTGGGACAAGTAACCTCACAAACTATTATTAGCACCTAGATGATAACCAAGGAACAATAGCAGCCAACTTGGCTGTGTCAAAAATAAATCACACTAGATAACTTGATGTTCTCTTCCAGTAGGGAACAGGCCTTGTGGATAGGAAAGAGCCTGTTGTCAGTTTGATTATGTTTATGACACTTACATGACATTTTCATTAAAAAGTTAGAGAAATATGACCTGGATAAACATATTATAAGGTATGTACAAAATTTACTGCACAGCAAGCAGTATTTCATAACATGCAGTAGATTTCTGTCAAAAGGAAAGAATATATTGCTGGTTTTCTAGAGCCCGTCTTCAGTCTGGGTCTTTTTGTTGTTAACAATATAAATAATGGAACAGAGAACACACTTATTAATTTTGCAGGTGATGCAAAGCTGGGGGTGGGTGACACAGAATTCCATTTTGAAACATTTTTGACCATTCAGAAACATGCTTTTAAATCAACAATACAGAAGACATGCAGTAAGATCAAATTGCATAATAGTTCAGCACATTATACTGGTATAAGCCACCTGGTATAAACCATCCCTGCTGTTCCTCTTCCCCTTGCTTCTCATTTTCTCTCACACTGTCTTATGCCAGCATAAGTTTTTCTGAGGCTCTGTTGTTGACTATATGAGGAAGCTGATTAACATCACAATTATGATTCCAGAGGCAGGTGTAACCTGGAGCACTTTGTTGATCTATTTGTTCCTACTTTGAGTCATGGCAATGGTGAGGTGACCTGCTGATTTCTTGTCGTGCTGTGATTTTCCACTCATTAGGTAAAAGGAACATAGTTGTTAGAAAACTGAATATCCTGGTACAACTGATATTTCTCTGCACCAGCACAATATTGATAATTCGTGTTCAGATTATGATCCAATACAAATCCAAAAGATCTGGTTCTCTGATCTTGAGCTGAACTGGCCTAGGCACAGTTCCTTCATTCTCCCTCAGTTTCTTCAGCTTCATTGAAAAGCATCTGCAAATAAGAATTTTGTAGTATTGATTGAACACTAAGCCATTGCTCTTTTCTGTTTATTAACCATTTCTCCTCATCCTTTCTCTAAATAATTTAGGATCTTACTAAGATCCACTGTAAACATAAGTATCTCCTATGTCAATAGAAATGGCTCCCTGAAAGCAGTAAATTCCTGCAACTAAAATGTTTGCACAAGAGCCTGAGGCTTGCTCTTGTACCTAGCATGAGATTTATTTTTCTGTCAGTGGCTTCTTTAAATATAAAAATGGTGAAATCTAATGTTAATCCATGAAGAAATGCCAGGCCCTGAGTGCACCAACCAGTAGTCCTGCAGCCCCAGTCCTCCCCCAGGCTGGGCAGTGCCTCTGTTCCCAGCTCTGTCCTTCCCTGTTCCCCACTTGTTGACTGGGCTTCCCAGACTGACCTTGGACCCAGCCTGTCACCCCTCATTTCCCTAATGATCCCTGGGCTCTCACAGCACCTGTCACCATTCCAGCCCTGTTCCCTGGGTGCTGTAGGACTGTGCCCTTGTTGTTCAGGTCACTGCCCCTGTCCCTGTGTGGTCACTCTCGGCCCCTTACTTGCTGCCTCACTGCCCCTCTGTCACTGCTCCCTGACAAGGTATGACATCTAAAGGCAGCTCGTGCTCCCTCTCTAAAACAAAACTCTGCATCTTGTCTCTCCCTAATGTGTCATTTGCAAATTCCATCTTAAGTGAGCCTGGAAGTAAAGGCAAGGCCTGAAGTCTTGTATGTGGTAGATGCCACCAACAAGCATCAGAAGTTGGACTTCAAACCAGAAGGACTAAAAAACCTTAATTCTTATTTAAAAAGCATTTAAGCACGTGCTTAGCTTAAGCATGTCCTTAAATGCTTTGGATTTAATTATGTAAATTGAGACATTTCCTCACCATCCAGCTCTGCTGCTGTACTTTAGAAATGTGATTGTACACATCAGTATGTAGTTAAACCTGTAGATTTATTAGAAACTCTGTGCCCTTGCTATATAGGAGTTGTTAAAAAAAACCCCAACAAACAACAACCAAACAACAAAAACCCACAAGCTAAATCAGCAACAAAGTAAATAGTATTTTAAGTCCTGAAATGTTTCTGGTGAGTAAAATAC